GCAGGACCTGACACTAAGGACGCCATCCATCTTCGACGAACCAAAGGCATCGTAGGTACAAAAGTATCATTCAACATGAACACTCCCTTCCGTTCCAAGAAAGATGCGTTTCTAGCCAATAACGAAAACAAGCAAAACTTTCTAAATATGCTCAGCTCAAAGCTTAACGAACATGGAATAGCAACAAAACATGCAGCCGCGGACGCCGACGTTTTAATTGGACGCACCGCTATTGCCTCATCCAGAACAAAAACTACCGTCTTGCTCGGAGAAGATACTGACCTGTTAGTGCTTCTTTTGCAGTCAGCTGAACCACTAAACAACAACATCTTTTTCATGTCTGATATCAAGGGAAACAATAAGGTCAAAGTGTGGGACATTGAAAAAAACAGGCGTGTATTGGGAATGGACACGTGCAAGGTTTTACCAGTTATCCATGCCATAAGTGGCTGCGACACGACATCACGTTTGTTTGGATTAGGGAAAGGAGTGGCAATGAAAAGAATCTCAGGTAGTGAGCACCTCGTATCGGTGGCAATGGTCTTCCTTAGCAAAAACAGCACGACTGAAGATGTAACAACGGCGGGAGAACATATCATTTCAACTTTGTATGGTGGCACTGAACTTGAAGGACTTGACACATTAAGATACAGAAAGTTCACAAGTCGCATATTAACCAACAAAACGTTTCTTCAAATTCACACTTTGCCTCCATCATTAGCTGCTGCCGCGTTTCATAGCATGCGAACCTACCTCCAAGTTCAAGCATGGACGGCAGCGGATGATTCTGAGAAACTTGACACATGCGCATGGGGGTGGAGGCTTTCAAATGGTAGACTTATGCCTATTACAACTAATAAAGCTCCGGCTCCTGAAAGACTCATGCTTATTATCCGTTGCAAGTGCAAGACAAATTGCGATACCCGAAGGTGCACGTGCCGGAAACATGGCTTAGAATGCTCCGTAGTGTGCGGTGACTGTAAGGGGAACAGTTGCTCCAATTCACGTAACTGTGACGTCCTTGACTAATTACGTAACTTTGCGACTTCTATTGAACTAAAGTGGATAATGTTAAAAGTACTGAAGTATCAATACATATTTTAGTTCATGGACGTAACGCGATTGGCATACGAATTATCAAGTGTTTTAGCTTCTTATCATAATTTGCATGGACGTATTTAAATAGTATTTATTGAGTTAACTCGTCCATATCACATTCTGTTCGAGGTTAGCAGAAACAATCGTGCAGCTACATGTGTAAACATAAATACTAATCAATCTTGAATTGTTAAATGATACTTAGTGGAGCTTTTTAATAGCAAACATCATTCATACCTGTTGTTGGAATTTAGCATATTATTGAGAACAAACATTCTAGTCCCGGTACTTCTTTGACGTTTCTTAAAAATTATATTTGTTAATTCGACGATTAAATTATTAAACAATGATACATATATTGTGGTACTATGCGTTTTGCCGTTTTTGCTTTAATTATCCCACAACAATGTGATGTGGTTACAAGATTGTAGAACAAATATTTAACTTATTAACTTATTAAAAAAATCCAACACACTTTGTAGCATTTGCGGAGTTGTAACAGAAAAGTATAAAGATGTCTAACATAATTTACATTTAAAAACATTATTTTATTTAAGACTAGCAAAAATCGATGCACGCCGTCATTAATAATAACGTGGCGGGAAAATGAAATTTGGGCGTGTTTTTTAGTAGTCTTAAAGAGAAAAATATTTTTGTTATTTATTGCATTACAAATGTTTTGCAATATTCTGTTACGTCTCGGCAGGTGTAACAAAATGATGTAAGAATTTTGAAAATTGGTCACTTATTTTGTCCACAATCCCAAAATTAGGAAAACCAAACAAGTGGAAAGACCGTAGGGACCTTTGACACCCCAGAAAAAAGTTTCCCGAATTTTGCCAGTGTCCGATTTTTTAGGGGACATAAAGGACACCCCAATATTGCCAAAAATACATAAAACTAATTTGTTGCATTTAGTTTTAGGTTTGGCTATTTTTTTTACGTAATTTGATTAGCCTAATACTATTATAGCGAGTGTAGGTCTACAGTACTACCCAATACACCAATAAAACCCAATGCACAAGACACCATGACAGAACAAAATAGCGAGTGTAGGTCTACACTACTACGTAATACACAATACACCGTGACGGAATTAGAACCACGTCATGAACATACGCCTAGAGACCACCGCTAAACACTGGAAATTCCCGTTTTAAATACCCTTATATATTGTACATATGAAACGAAAGAAGGAATTATCTGATTATATATAAATATCTTTTAGTTGTCAACTCTGGTTGGGTATATAGCAACCAGATATCAACAGACGGGTCATAAGAGAGTCGGCGAGTACAGAGATAGGATGTTAAACTTCTGTCATACTGGGAATTTAACTCTATATTCTGATACCAATATACAACGCTGAATTTACTTTGATATATATACATTGATTTATGTGTAGAATGTGAAACGCTACAAAAACTCATTACTGATGTAATTCTGTGTCAAATTTTAGTTTGAGATGGGTCAATACTTTCGAGAAACGCTGTGATGAACTAACATATCGTACCAATATCAACCTGACAGCATCAACAGTGATGAAAACAGTTCACTACTTCACGTCATGGATTCTTAAAGGTGTTTAACAAATTCTTCTGACACCCCACATCAACCCATGGAGGATCCGTAGCTGAAGAACGTCTGGTAAGATTTAGATAGTGAAAATATCCTTTAATGATTAGATTAGTATTTCGTCCGATGAATAATCAACGAGATTAAGGACACACTCACACAACACACACACAATCACACACACACACACACACTCTCTCTCTCTCTCTCTCTCTCTCTCTCTCTCTCTCTCTCTCTCTCTCTCTCTCTCTCT